TCTCTCTCTCTCTCTCTCTCCCTCCCTCCCTCCCTCCCTCCCTCCTCCCCTCCCTTTCTCTTTCTCTCCTCCCATGTACAGCTTTGATGCAGACAGCCACTGGCCTGGGAATCCAACAGAGAATCCAACCAGGCATCAGGAGTCCTGGCCGCCTGTGTCTTCCAGCCAAGAACAGTAAATAATTGAGAGTTCTGAGACTGTACAGGCCAGGAACAGCTAAGAATGGGAACAAGGGTGTGGTCACTGCCACCAACCAGGAGCAGCTAAGCACAGAAGCAGGGGCAGGGGCACTGCCACCAAAGGAAATCTGAAAGTCTCTCAGGCCAGCATGGACATGGGCAGTGTGTGATGGGAGGAAGCTGGCCATGCAGAGTAGCTGCACAGAGGCCAGGAGAAAGTGCTGGAAGGCACCCTTCCCCTGAACTTGTGGCTGACCCTGATGCATGCAGGCCTCCCAGAGTAGGGACACTTGTCTCTGATTCCAGACTAGGTATTGGATTGGAGGTCCTTTCCCAAACACAGGAAAGTCACATTGTCCCCCAGAGCTTTAGATTTGCTAAACACACCCCAAGGTAGTTGGGTAACACAATAAGACCACATGACAGAGCTGTTGGGAGAATATAGGTCACATCTGATGGCTCTTTGAGTCAGAGCCTTAGATTGGAACACAGAAATGATGGCAAAGATTACATGACTGAAGGCTGAAGTGGGAGGAGGTGGGGCTTCTTCTAGAGACTCTGTAAAGATGGGCTTATATTTGACCCTCCTGGGCAGGTGGGAGACCACCAGAGCTGTGGGGAATGCTAGCTAGCTGCTGGCATGTGGTTTTTTAGCTGGGATAAGTACAGAGTAACTTTCAAATTCAAACAAGTGGTGCTACTTGCAGTCTCTTCTATGGTGGTGGTGGGAGCTGGGGAGAAGGATGTCAGATGTGTGTGAAGGGCTCTGAGCTGTACTAGACTGCAGCCTGATGAGCAACCCTGGTGACAGTATAACGCTGCACTGCGGTCAGCTGAGGATGGAACCTGGAGAGAGCCATGCCTTCTCACTACCTTCAAACCTGGAAACTCAAAGGCTGGGGAGCAGGGTCATCCTGGCTAGTGTTGACACAACTTGACACAAGCTAGAGGCATCTAAAAGAAGGGAACCTAGTGGAGGACATGCCTTCATAAGATCTGGCTAAAGGGCATTTTCTTAGTTGGTGATTGATGGGGGAGGGGTCAGCCCATTGTGCGTGATGCTATCCCTGGGCTGGTGATCCTGGGTTCTATAAGAAAGCAGGCTGAGCAAGCCATGATGAATGGGCCAGTAAGTAGGACCCCTCCATGGCCTCTGCACCAGCTCCTGCTCTGTGTGAGTTCCACTGACTTCCCTCAGTGATAGACTACAATGTGGAAGTGTAAGCCAAATAAACCCTTTCCTCCCAAAGTTGCCTTTGGTCATGGTGTTTCATCACAGCAATATTAACCCTAAGACCAGGGTGAAAGAGCACACAGGGCATAGGACCTTTCAATC